GTGAAGTATCGTTGACGCTACGGACCCCGGACAACCCAATAAGCAAACCCAAGAAGGTCAAAACAATTGTTTTGACCGAAAATTCGTTTTTAGTGGTAATCAGTGGCCCTGATCACAAATATAACACCTAACAGAATAGCGCTGAACGTTCCCTATATTGATGCACATAACGAATTCAAATGGAAATAAGAGTGGCGCCAGTCCAAATTGTCGTAATTGACACCACACCAGAATTACTAAATTCGCAATCAGATCCACTGTATAGCCTATGAGGATCAACGTCCAGCAACAGTCTTGTTCAATGGTGCGTGAAAATCGAAATAGTTGAATAGCACTGACTCATGAGGTACAGCTACTCAGAATGTGCCCATAAATGGCAAATATCCGAGTTATATTCATGCGCAGACACAAATGGAAGCGAGAACAGCGAAATCTAAAAAATGCAAAAAGAGGCGATGCAACGGTCAAGGGAGCCGAACATCAACCCCGGACCCTGCACCTGTTCGATGGAAACCCCACGACCTATCCACAGCCAATCCGTGGCTCGATTCGGTCTAGCGCTCTTAATCGTTGATGAAACCAATTGGCAAGAAGCCGTTCACCGCTTAGCAGGACAGAGTGACCCAAGTTGGAAGCTCACTTGCGGCGATTTTTCGCTTCGATTCAAATAGCCCCTTTATAAGGACCCCCACTCAGCAACTGGTCAAAGTTGCAAGTGACCTACGACCGGCATAAAGTAGGCCCCAGAGAAAGCAGATTCCCCACAGATTGTATGCAAAAAACCGTTTTCGAAAAGCGCACCACGCCCTGAACGACCTCCCTTGTTAGTGTCCTATATGACGGTTAAGATCCTTTTTCAAGGGCACCATGCCAACACTCCTCCCTCCCTCGCTCCCCTCCCCCCATCAGGGCACATGGTGACAAAAACAGCAAGAAGGACCCTTCCAAAGAGCCGGACAGCTGTAGATGTGGGCGGAGACTCATGATCCCTCGCATCTTAATAAATGTTGCACCCCTCATTCTGGTATGGGTAAGGACGACGCTTGTGAGTTAAGCACGATAGTTGTGAGTCTCCGCCCCTCGACCACCGCGGAACCGCCTACCGGGAATCGTTTCGCTTCCATCGTGGGAAAATAAGCAAGAGTGTTACCTTCCGGGTGTTCATAGATCCCAGGTGAGAGAGCAGTCGTAGAAGTTGGTTCCTTCTGAAAGGTAAGGTTTCTCACACACGTATTCTAGAAGGAAGCCATCCCAGCCTTGTTCCAAAATTTAGTGACCTCATTCAAATACTCACTTGATCGTCTTTTGATGGTGATGCTGAGTGTATCTGATCCTTCGTGACAGGATATGCAGGAGGATTTATCTTTATAGTAGATTTCGAAGATCCCTCTGAAATTCATCAATGCCGGTCTTCAAAAAAGAAAATGTTTTTGCACATACTCCGAGAATAGGAGAAAGGGGAAAGGTGCCGCTGCTAGACGCGTAGCCGCGTAGTCGTGGATGATGTTCCGTTCGCTCCAATTAAGCCTTTCTTCCCACCTGGGTGTATTGGAAGGTATAAGTTTAGTATGGGGAGATAGAAGCACTTCGTTATGCATCAGCTGGTCTTGATACATTATTGCTCAAGATAAAGTCTTGTTCACTGCGGAACGTGTCGGGGGACGAGGAGGGAGGGAGGGAAGGCTTGACTTGAGGGGCGCCACCCATTTCCACAAATCGTTGTCGCTTGCTTCACCACTGGTGGTAATCGTTGTGCCGCTTGCTTCACCACTGCGTGGCTAAATGCGGTCTGTCCCATCGCGCAATCCCAGGACCCTTCCCTGACAGATCCAGCCCAAACAAGAAGCAAACAACGCCATAAATATGCGATGAACCGATATAGAATGAGCTGTCAACCCAGCTTACCCAGCTTACTGCGGCACTACCGTCATCACACAATCAGATCCTGGTGTGAGCGCACCCTACTAATCCCTCCCTTGAATTCATGATTCTCGCCGCTGCCACTCTTCTTCCCTGAACTGCAGATGGAATAAGCATCCAAATGTCACCTACAATTCCACTAGGAATCCGTATACGAGGAGTAAGGCCGTCCTCGTCTTATGCGGGTTCTTTTAAAGTTCGGGCTTCTGAACGAACATACAAACCTTCCGTAGAACTGCTACTTTTCTCACTGCTTGGTTTTTCTTCCTCAGTGTCTTGCTCGGACATCTCCGAATTAGTGTCGTCAGGTTCCTAAATGTGAGCTCTCAAGCAACTGGAAATCGTTGGCAATTTCATCAGGCTAACCTCGTTCATCTCAGATTCTGCAGCCAAGTCGTCTGGAGTAGGGCGCGCAGATGGTGCGGCAGGTGATACAGGAGAACCTTTACTATGTTCTGACTTCGCGGATTCCTGAATGTTTTCTTCGAGGTATTTGGCTATTTAATCAGATGACTAATTTCCAAAAATTCACAATGATTCATTATTTTTTATGAGAAGCTGAGCCGATCAGTATGGCAGCCATCATGGGAACTGGTACTGTAGTATTCAGGTGTGATGGGAATGTGACGGAAACAGAGCGCTTCCTGCTGTTGGGTAACGTTTTCCCATTTGCGCCCATTGTGAGGGAATTGCTGTCGGTAATAGTTCCGCTAGGTTTAATCCTGTCCGGAACCATTACCCGGACAGGATTAAACCTAGCGGAACTATTACCGACAGCGAACTCTACTGCTCAGCATCTGATACTATAGTTACTATACTTGTTTGAGAGATATGAGATTCCTAAGAAGTCATGTCGAGTCTTTCCCCGGCGGGTCAATCCCTTTCTGGCCAGCTTTTCACCTCAAAAGTTCTTCTATACGTTTGAATAATGGTACCATCTGACTTTTGTAATGAAGGGAATTATTCTAAATATTAATTACCTGAGACTGTGCTTCGGGTGCTTCAGGCGGCTCTGGCCGTTTCGGGTAGGCCGGTGGAGACACTGACTTTTCAGGAGGTGGTGGTGGTGCTGCCGGCTCGCCATGAGAATCCTGAATCAAAAATCTTGATCACACTACAAATTCATTCCAATTATTCCAATAATTGCGGGGAAGAGCCTTTTGAAGCTATTAAGACACAAAAGCACGTTCCGCGATTGCAGTTCCTAGGCAAGAGGGTTCGAAAAGAAAGCTGCCGGTGCTGTCTCCCTTATCAATGAGGAAGAAAACATGACAAAAATGACATCAATAGGGATTTCTTTTTCATGATTGATTATAATCGCGAAAATGAAACGAGTAAGATCAACTGATCAACTGCAAGACGGGAGAGGCCGCGATACACTGAAGAGTGCGAAAGATAGACCAGAAACAGACGGGTGACAGCACATAGTCCAGAAACAGACGGGTGACAGCACAACGGCGGGTCGGTACTAACAGGTTAGACCGACAGGCTATCGTCAGCGTAGACGACGAACTCGTCGTCTAG